AATCAGAACCAGCTCCTACTTGATCCTCCAGAGGATTTCCCAGGTTGAAATCACACAGGATGAGATTGTCCATCTTTCTCCTACAGATCAGCTGGTGGAGTCTAACCTCATGCCTTTTAGTTACCAGTAAACAAGAGGAAGGTCTTCAATGAAATATATTGACATAGTGACTATAACAATGAATTCGAGGATATTAGAGCTGTGAGAATGTGCAGGATAGGGGGAGGATTGGATCTGTTGTTCAGAGGGTCACTGTAAGTTATAGTCAACTTGACAGCACTTAACAATTATATTAAAGTAGCACCTCAGGAGAAAGATGGTCAGCAGCCTTTGAAAACCCACTGGAGAGTCAGCTAGGAGTCCGTTCTGACTTAATGGCAAGAGAGAGTGACTCTATTATATAGATGCCTTGGTACAATAGTTAACACTGGCTGCTGACTGAAAGGGGGCAGAATACATATGTGAGCAAACAGATGTTTTGGAAAAAGTGCAGCCAGAATGCTTCTTGGAGGCAGAGATGGTGAATTTTTAGTTCACATACGTTGGGCATGTTGCTAAGAGAACCTGTTCCTTGAAGAGGAACATCAACCTTGGAAAGGTGGAGGGTCGCAAAGGAGAGGAAGACCCTCAACCTGATGGATTGACACTGTGACTCCAGCACTGGGCTCGAGTGTGTCAGAGATTGTGAAAATAGGACAGGGTTCAGATCCGTTGTTCATAGGGTCATACTGGACTCAAAGGCATCTACCAACAGCAATAACACCAACGTGTGCATAAGAGGATCAATAAGACCTCAGAAATTTTGTTAAAATGTAGATTTGGATTCAGTGTATCTAGGGTGGAAATACAAATTCTTAGCAGGTGGTCAAACTGTGGTGAACCCATTTGCAGTTAACTGAACTCACCCTTGGAAGGCTGACTTCACTAGCAACTCCACTGGAGAAAAGACTTGGCCACCTGCTTTTATAAAGATGACATCCGAGGAAACCCCATGGGGCAGTTCTGTGCTGTCTTATAGAGTTGTAAGATAGAATTGACCCAATGGCACAAACTAACTGCAATATATTGCATGTGTTTCTGGTCTTCTCAATAATCATGATTACCGTTTTACAGATGAGGAAAGCAGTTTTCAGAGCAGGCTAAGACTTGCCCAAGGTGACAGACTAAGTCCCTGAGTCCAGGACAGTCTGACCTTAAGGTCTGCTGCTGTTGTCCAAAACCTTATGGCTTTAAGGACTGGCCCTTGTGGGAGCTGTTTGCCACTCTTTCCAGTAACTGCTCAAGGAAAAGGGGAGAACTGATAAGCAGCCTTGACTTTCCTGGAGGCTCCCTATTCCCCATAACTGTTGTTCGGATGTCCCTGGAGAGATGGGCTCTGTGGCTGGAAATTTGTTTGTTTTAGTCACCCATTCTCTAAATACCTCCCTTCAACAGGAGGAGGATGCCCACTCGTTGAGTCTGGCCCTTGGTCACCTCCCTCTGCCACAGCTGCTCTCACAGAGAAAATTCAGAGAAAGCAAACACTCGTTTGCTTCTTGAGAGCTTGAGGAATTTTCCAGGCATGTGATATAGGAAAATGCCTCCATTTCCCTCAAAAGACAAAGTGGAAGCTCTGTTTGGGTGACCTGAAACATTTAGCTCTGCGTCACAAGCACTGTGTTACCCTTTCATCCAGGAAGTGAGGTAGTGTGTTACAGTGTGTGGGGCTGTGAGCTCTCTTGAGTCTGCGTGTTAAATTCAAGCCTGGACCTCTCACCTCTGTGCTTGAGAAGCCTAGACGAGAGCACCAGAGCCCTCTTGAGCCCTCAGGGCTGCTGTGGAGAGGCTGTAGGAACTCCAAAATGCTACACCTGTGTGAGCAGCCCCTCGTGGATCCCAGCTAGAGGAGAGGAGTGAGGCTGTCCTGACGCTGAGACTCCTGGCTGGCTTGCGACGGGAAGCTTTGTCAAGTGTTTGCTGGCACCACTAAGGGACCTGATGTCCCCAAGGCCTGAAGTGGCTCCAAGTGACTAATTGTTAGGATGGGTTCACTTTGGCTTTGAGAGGCCTGGCTTCACTCCACCTACGTCAGACCCTCAGATGTGGACAGCTCAGAGCCAGTATTCGGATCCTAAGTGGCACAAACTACAGAGTTAGTGACCAAGGTAATATAAATTTATCTGCATGGAGACTTCCCTGCCTGGCACAGGGATCTTTTCTTCCTCAGAGTTCTGTTGTCGCTAACATTGATCCTTGTCCACTACTGCACAGCTCGGAGCCTGGCTCAGGGAAGATGGTCAGGCAGTGTTGAGTGAATGGAAAGGAGAGGGGTGAAGAGAGACACAAAAATGTATCCAATGACTTCTAGCCATTTGAGAGCTCTTTAAGTGTTGGTGTATTTATTCCTTGCTTACGTGGCTTAATTGTTTTTGGTTGTTGTTGCCTCTCAGGTTTATTTTAGAGACTGTCTCACTAAGGATTATTCTAATAATAGAGTGGTCCAGACGCAATGCTATTTTCTGAGGTTGAGGCAAATATCCAGGGTGTCACTTGAATAGTACATCCTAATTTAGAGGCCAAAGGCTCTTTATTATGCTATTAAACGGAATCATAAAACCTTTTGAGTTCTGTCTCAAGCAGTGGCTATTTTGGGTGCCAAGAAAGCATGTGTCATACAATGAGAAAGTACTTTACACCCACTAGGAAGTCTGTGATAAAAAGACAGGTAATACGAAGTTTTGGAAAAATGTGGAGAAATTGCACAGAGGAGATTTCTCATCCTTCTCCCATCATACGTTGTTTGTCAGTGGTGGTATAAATAGATCCTGCCTCTTTGGAAATCAGTCTGGCAGTTTCTTAAATGTTAAACATGGTGTTACCATATTATCTAGCAATTTCACTCCTAGCTATACATACTCAAGAGATATAGAAATAAATCTTCACACAACAACCTGTATACAAATATTCATAACAGTGTAATTTATAATTCCCCAAAGTGGCAACAAATCAAATACCCATCACCTGATGAATGGGTAAACAAAATGTGCCATAGCCACACAGTGGAATATTTAGCCATAAAAGGAGGAAGGAGGGCAGTGAAGGGGAGGAGACCTTCAACCAGGTGGATTGACATGGTGACTGCTGCAATGTGCTCTTGGGTGACAGGAAGTATGAGGATGGCACAGGGTAGAACAGGGTTCAGATCATTTGTTCATATGGTCACAATGAGTTGTACTCGTCGGCACCTAACAACAACAACTACTTCACAGATGAATCTTGAGAACATTATGTAAAGTGAAAGAAGCCAGTCAGAAAATACTACAATATTGTATGATTACTCCATTTACATGCAACATCCAGAATAGGTAAGTCTGTAGAGCTAGAAACTAGATTGGTGGTAGCTAAGAGCTGAGGGGAGATGGAGAGGTGAGGGTAATGGCTGAGGGACACAGATTTCCTTTTGGAGTGATAAAAATATGCTAAAATTGTGATAATCAGGGCCCCACTCTTGTGAATATACGAAAACCACTAAATTGTACCCTTTAAACAGATGAGTTGTATGCAATGTGAATTAAACCTTGATAAAGTGATTTTTATAAAATCTTTTTTTAAATTGTTATTTTTAATAGAAGTTTACAGAAAAATTGGATTTTCATTCATTCATTTTTGCATAATTTCCTTCCCCGTCCCCAGTCTACTTTGCTATACACCTCTTATTCTGGACTGGACAGCTTCTCAATCATTTCTTCATCTACTATGATGTTGCCTATTGGTCCAGTCGTTGTTGTTGATAAAGTGTTTGGTTTTTGTGTTTTTTTCTTTAAAGAGAGTAAGCTCAGGACAATCTTAGGAGGGTGGGGGAGGGGGATTTCAAGGAGGAAGAGTGGCTACCAGGTTGACTCCAGGGACATAACAACAACCTTTTTTTACCTCTACTCCCTTTTTCGTTGCCGACTCAAAGGCAGGAGGTTCAAATACACCTGCTCTGTAGGAGAAAGATGGGCTTTCTCCTTCCATGGGATTTGTAGCCTCTGGAAACCGGCTGTAGGGTCAGCTATGACTTGGTTTTGACTGGACAACAATGAGTTTGAGTTGCTTTCTGTTTTTGTTTGTTTTTAACATTGTATAGGAGCCCTGGTGTTGGACTGCTAATGGAAAGGCTGGCACTTTGAACCCACCAGGCACTCCTGGGGAAAGCTTGGCAGTCTCTTCCCCTGGGGATTTACAGCCTTGAAACCCTGTGGAGTTGCCTTGAGTGTGAATCCACTAGACAGCAGTAGGTTTGGCTTTTGGTTGGCCACATTGTTCACTGATGGATATTATGATTTCTTCTCATAGATACCAGGTATGGTGTCTAGTTGAGGCCTTGGCATGACCAAGCTGTGTCATCCTGATCTGATCCTATCAATAACCATTCTGAGAGTCTGTCCACATCTGTACACTGGGAATGACCATACTGGCACAAAGTATTCCTTCATCTTGTTGTGTACCATTGAGTCAGAACTGACCCTTAGCTGACCCTCAGATGGATTTTCAGAGGCAGCAAATTACACGGGAGGAGATAGCCCATCTTTATCCTACGGAGCAACCGGTGGATTCAAATTGCCTGCTCTAAGTATTGCTAGTGAAAGGTGAAAAACAGCCTGTAGGGCCTCATCATCATCACTGGTTGACACCCAGGTGGGGATGCTAGTTGGTAGCATGTGTCGCTCTGCCCTGATTGGACGCCTCCTGGAGGCACAGCACTTAAGTGCTCAACTGTTAACAGGAAGGTCAGCAGTTAGAACCCACCAAGCAGCTCTGGGAGAGGAAGACGTAGCAATCTACGTCCCTAAAGATATGATATCCTTGTAAACTTTATGGGCCCCGTTCTGCCGTTGGCCTCTCCAAGCCTGATTTGTGGCAGACAACCATATCACTTCTCTACTCTCCCCCTCCCACCAAATCACACCCTAATCTTACAGCTTTGTATTCCCCTCCCCCCAAATCACACCCTAATTGTATGGCCTTGTGCCCCACAGCGGCCAGTTTGCCATCGTAAAGAAGTGCCGGGAGAAAAGCACAGGCCACGAGTTCGCAGCCAAGTTCATCAAGAAGCGGCAGAGCCGGGCCAGCCGGCGGGGCGTGAGCCGGGAGGAGATCGAGAGGGAGGTGAGCATCCTGCGGCAGGTGCTGCACCCCAACATCATCACGCTGCACGACGTCTACGAGAACCGCACCGACGTGGTGCTCATCCTGGAGCTGTGAGTGGGGGCACACGGACGTGTGGGCGGGGACGCGGGGCACCCGCCCACAGGCCCCAGGGCCGAGCCCCCAGAGCCAAGGTCGGCCGGGAGGAGGGCAGGGATAGACCGGCAGTTTCCTTTGCTTCTGTTAGGTCATCTTCTTTCTGAAGCTGAGCTTAGAGGAGGGGTGGGCTTACTGAGTAGTATTAGGGAAGGCAAGGGTCTGGCTTTTATTGGACAGTGGGATTAAAGTAATGAAAAGGCTGGTGTTGGAGTCTGCACAGTAGGTGTCTGTAGGGGAAGAACCAGCATCCTGGACCCTGTGAAGCCCTTCTCTTTCCAGGAGAAAAGCCGATGCACTTGTCCTGTTGGATACCTTTTTTATTTTATTGTGCTTATTATTTAAGGATACCTCTTATAGGCCGCACCTATGCTAGTTGCTTTGTATTCATCACCTGTTCATTCCTCAGAAAGACTGTGATAAGGGCAGAGCCTTATAAACATTCCTCAGAAAGACTGTGATAAGGGCAGAGCCTTATAAACAGTTTATTATATAGATAAAGCAGAAGAAAACTAAACCCATTGCCTGCTGAGTCTTTTCTGAGTCACTCATGGTGGTCCGTTGTTGCTGTTGTTGTGATGTGCCCAGTGACTCTGTGAACAGAGGCTCTGAACCCTGCCCTCTCCTGATCGAACCTCAGTGTCTCTGACAGAGTAAAACTGCCCCTCAAGCTTTTCAAGGTTGTAAACTCTTCCAGAAACAGATGGCCATATCTAGCCTGGTGGCTAGTTGGTTTGCAACATTGACCATTCAATTCACAACCAAGCACTTAACCACTGCACCACCAGAACACCTTAATAGGTAAATAGGAGTGCTTTACTCCTATTTTTTTAATTTTTATTTAATCTTTAAAATAATCCTGCCACACAGTGACTTTTTTCCTCTCCAGTTTAGTGACTGTTAGTACCCTCAAGAGCATTGAGGCCTGTTTACTGCCAGGTCCACTAGATACCAGGTCCTCTAGACGGGAAGTGGCAGAGTGAAGGCTTGAGTCCCAGCAGCCAGTGCAGATTCCAGGGACTAGCTGTGGGGGAAGGATGTGGTGATCTGCTTGTATAAGGATTTATGACCTTGGAAACCCTAAGGGACAGTTCTGTCCCTTATGGCCACTATGAATCAGAATCAACAGTCGCAACAATAACAAGAACAACAGCAACAACTAGGGATTGGTTGGCCACCCATATATCCCTCTGGAGAGCTTTCCATGGAATGGGAAGATAGTGCTCTGGCGGACAGTAGGTTTGGCACGAGTTCTAGCAGCTTTGTCAAGTAGCAAGACACTGGGCTAGAGTTTTGTTCTGAGCTTCACAAACTTGCACATTTGCCAGTTAGCAAAGGAGTGGTAACTTTTCATTGTGACCTTCAAGAGGTTACTGCACCCTCTCTAAGCTGTCCAGCTCATCCGGGAACCTGGCACCATGCTTAACTTGTCTCCTTCTGGTGGGGTGGGACACCTGACATTTGGGATCATTCAACATGAGAACCATGCGTGGCATTGCCAGGATACAGTTCTAAGAAGCAAATGATCATTTGCATATTCTTGCATTTGATTCTTAAATTGTTCATCTCAACTTTTCAATGTGTGAAAGTTGTCCTTGTTCTCCCTAACACTAGTTCCCAGTGTTCTCTATATTTCTTCCAAGATCTCACAGCCAGTTGGACTAGTTATTGCACATGGCTGCCTGGCCCAGACGACCTGGTGGGAATTCTCCAAGTGGGACATCCTCTAAGGCAGGCTTAGCCATTGACATGGGATGTGGGAGGAGTGCTTAGTGCTTGGGGTATTTGAGTCTTTATTTCTCATATCAGCAGATCAGTCTTTGTAATGTAGAAAGAGCATGGTGAGAAAAAATATACAGTGAACAGGGACTGAGAAGATTTACCTATTGATATTGGGTGAGTCATTTGCTATCTTAATTAAAATTTGTTTGCCAAATATGGGGCTGGGGGCACAGTAGCTCTATCTACCTCTGATAATAGATATGAAGCCCTGATGAGAGGATGCTTGGAAAAGCTTGAAAATGTAGCAACATCTCAGTCAACTCTAAATCCAGCCTTCACCACGGCTGCCCCTGCCATGATATGGTGTGCGGTATTTATTTCTGGTGCTCTACAGAGGCTGTCATAATGTTCAAGATTTCTTTCACTCTCACTTCTACTTCCAATGGTGGCAGTAAGACTGTTCGCTTCTTATTCCTGTTTTATCAGAAGAAAATTTGAACCCTGGAACTCATATGTCCTCTTTCCAGCTCAAGCTTGAGCTTAAGATAAGAAAAGAATGGAGTCACTGTGCTGGTTCTTTGACTGAAGCCTACAGAGCATAGACTCAGGGTTAGTCTCTCACAAATTGCACAAGTACTCTAGGTTCTAGCACTGGCCCTGGATGGGATGAGGTGGGACAAGGATTATCTCACTTGCCAGACATGTGGCAAAAATAGCACACTGGGCTCTGTCCCCAGAACCCAGGCAGTCACTTGAGGTCCCACCTAGTAGAGGGACACTGCTACCCGACAGACAGTGTGCTCTGGCCCACCATCTTCTCTCCTCCATCCTTGCCATCTCCCCTTCCCTTTCTCTCCCTCTCTCTTCTTTTTCTTTCTCCAAACATGTACTAAGCATCTATTATTTGCCAACTACTAGAGACATAAAAGAGAGCTCTGGTGATGTAGTGGTAAGAAGCTGTGCTGTAATCCTGAAGGTGTACAGTTCATATCCACCAGCTGCTTGACAGGGAAGGATGGACCATCTTCTCCTGTGTGATTAGCTGCATCTGAAAACCTGCTGGAGGGTTAGCTATGGGTTGGTTCTGACTTGAAGGTACACAACAACAACAACAACAACAACAGAGAGATTAAGACTAAAGTCTATACTGCAATCCCAGAGGAACACGGTTCGAATCCATCAGATGCTTTGCCGGAGAAGGAGGCGCAATCTCCTCCTGTACCAGTCAGATCTGATTTGACGGTACACGCACACAAAATAATAAAAAAAAAAGACTAAAGTCTAATTCATGGCCCCTGCCCTTGAGAAGCTCATATAGCCAGAACATACTTTTTTTTTTTTTTTAAATCATCATCTACCTGTTTAGGGAGTTGTGGATCTTTACTGTTGTTTTAAACCCTGTTTGACAGATGAGAAAAGACTAAAGTAAGAGTGACTTGCTAGTAAGTAGCACAACTAGCGTTCCAGTGCAGATCCTGACCGCCTGGGCTGACCTGTGCACAGGGACTTAATGCCACAGATAAGCCTATCGTGATGCTTTTCCTTGTGCTGTTCCCGCTCTATCTTGTCCATTCCATTTATTCATTCATCAAGGCCGTATTCAAGTCTCACTGAATGGCCAACACCTTCTCCAGCTGCTTAAGCTCATGCTGACTGCATATGACAAACAGAGAATTAGTGCAGTGACAAAGGCCACACCACATCAGGCCTCATTGTTATTTAAGTGGATTTTTCTATATACCAGACACTGTGCTGAGTGCTCCACCCTGCACACCAACTCATTTGATCTTCAGTACAAGACTATGACATGGACACTCTTTTTGTACCCCTGTTATTAGTTTTCTAAGACTGCTGTATCAAAGTGTCGCAAACTGATTACCTTAGACGAATGGACACTTACTACAGTTCTGGAGGGGCTGGGAACCTGCTGTATAGTGATGCCGAGGCCTTCTGAGGCCTTGAGGGAGAAGCCCCCTGTCCCTCACCCAGCTTCAAGCTGTCAACATTCTGCCAGTGTTGATTTATAAAAGAGTCGTACCTCCCTTTATGTTCATCCTCATTTTTTTCTTTTTGATAAATATTTTTCCCAAAATATTTTCTTTTCTACAATATTTTTTTATTTATTATTTTTTTGTGCATGTACCATCAAATCAGATCTGACTGATACAGGAGGAGATTGCCCCTCCTTTTTCAGCAGAGTATCTGGTGGATTTGAACCACATACCTCTGGTATTGCAGTGCAGTTTCTTGCCACTAGGCCACCAGAGCTCCCTTCTTTTCTACAATATTTTTAAGCAAATCCCAAATATCATGCCATTTCACGTGTATATACTTTGGTGTGCTTCTCTAACAGTTATAACACATTTGGGTTTGGGGTTTTTGTGGTGTGTTTTTTTAAATTCATGGTTGTATGTTTTCTCCCCCTCTTCCTCTAGCCCAGCCTGGAATGTACCCTTGTTCTAGATTATTACCCTATGTATATCAGGTATAGGAGTTTTTAAAAACCTGATACTGGGGTATTTTTTGCACCTAGTGAAGAAATACTTGGACCAAGAGGCAGTCGTCAGAACAGAGCAGGGAGACACTGGATAGTTCAAAATCAAGAAAAGGGTCCGTCAGGGATGTATTTTGTCTCCATATCTTTTCAATCTGTATACAGAACAGATCATCTGAGACGCTGGGTTGTACGAGGAGGAATGTGGCATCAGGATTGGTGGAAGACTCGTCAACAACCTGCGTTATGCAGATGACACAACCCTGCTCGCTGAAACTGAGGAGGACCTGAAGCGCTTGCTGCAGAAGGTCAAGGACTGCAGTCTTCAATATGTATTGAAGCTCAATATCAAGAAAACAAGGATTCTCACCACTGGGCCAATTGGCAGCATCAGTATGGATGGTGAAGAGATTGAGATAGTTAACAGTTTTAGTTTGCTTGGCTCCTCAGTTAACACTCTTGATAACAGCAGCCAGGAAATCAGGAAATGAATTGCATTGGGAAAGTCAGCTGTGAGGGACCTCTCAAGAGTAATCAAAAGCAATGACATCAGGCTGGAGACTAAGGTGCGCCTGATCCAGGCTATAGTCTTTGCAATTACGTGCTATGCATCGCAGAGTTGGACAGTGAATAGGGATGATAGAAAGAGAATTGATGCCTTTGAGTTGTGGTGCTGGAGAAGAGTGTTGAATGTACCATGGACTGCTGGAAAACAAGCAGGTTTGTCCTGGAGAGAGTGAA